TTGTAGCAAAACAAGTCCTAAACAGGTATACTTGATTATCATACTAATAGTTTGTTCAGTTCACTTTTTAAGTAGATACCTCACACATAAGCCAAATATAAAAAATCAAACCAATCCAATCCAATCTGCAAATCACGGGGACAAAGAAGAAGAAAAGAGTAATGGTAATTAAACTGCACCCAAAAACATTCCATGTCTATTAACAGTTGCTGGAAATTACCATAATGTTTGATGCATGAGTCAAGTAGTCTCGAACACCATCTTCCCAAAGTTCCTCGGGGTGATTCTTTAATTGAGATTGCACCCAACTGTTCACACCAAGTAAGTACAGACATATTAGATATTAAACAAACTTCAACAATATACAATTACAGTGGAAAAAAGGAACAATTGAACAAATTCAATTAAATTCTACGCCGAAGAACAAGATAAGTAAACCCAAATTTTCAAAGAACCAAAACAACATTAAATGTTACCTAAGATAAGTAAGATATAAACTGCTTCAATTATGACAATATATGACAACATACACAATGAAATTGATCACATTATCAAGCCAACACCAGCAGTACAAACAGACAAAGAGAAGGAAAGATGATCATATACTTCATTATGAAATTGCAGTTACTGAAATAGGGTAAGTGGACCTTGCAAATTGGGTATTAAGTGCTCTCACGTGCTGACGGGATGACTCAGCCCGTTGCATATCCAATGCTGGTGTCTCTGTTGACGGCTGTTGGGATGGCTCAGCCCTATGAGAATCAAATGCGGATCCTGCCAGGATTCTTTTATTCCGAAACTGGGTCATCAATGAAAATTTTAATATAAGACTTCATATCAGAATGAAATAAAAATGAAATAGAAGTAATTCAATGTATGCACCCAAAACAAACTAATTAATCAAAAAATTATCTTTTCCAGTACCGTTTCGTATCAACAATCCTCAAGTTTAACCAAGCTAAAGAAACAAACATATGTTTAAAAATAAAAACTTGTTGCGTTTACATTATATGAATTCTCGAATAAGCTGAAATCCACCGTAACTAAACCGCATATTAACACAAATAAGCTAACCAATAGAAGTTGAACATTTTTTAAACCAGCATCAATAAAGCCAAGTGGAATAGAAATTAAGCTCATCTGTGTATAAGCCACCTCAAAGTTCATCCAGAAAATAGACAACAGAAAAAAAAAAAGGAAGAAACTTACGGCGGTGTCGTTCGGGTCCGATGCCGAGTCCGACGCAGCGAATCGTTTCGTTCCTTTCATGAATTTTTTTATTATTTTATATTATTGATTGTAACTGAATAATTTTAAAAAAAAAAAAAAATCAAAAAGCAGCAACGGGTCGAATTAGGGTTTTAGTTCAAATTTTGGTTTTCTTTTGTTTCAGCTACTGATACGGGGAAAGAGAGAGGGTTAAAAAATCAAGGGAATAAATTAATTAAAATTGAGATGATATTAGTCGTTGGATCAGGTGGGGAACTGAACTTTCAATTGAGACCATTGGATGAAGGGGCCCGCCATCATCTACTGCTCAGCTCCACATGGGCCACGTGCTGTTTGAATGTTCACCGGGATGCCCATTGACGGCCCACTGGATTATGGGAACCAAAAATGCTATACCCACCGAAAAGTTACACCAAAAAATTGCATCGAAACACGTGGAAGCCGCCACGTTGGACCGATTGAAAACAGACATAAGGGGGACGGCCATCCAAATTAGCAGGACGGGCGTCCATTCCATATAATATGTTGGACGGGCGTCCATAGAGATGGACGGCCGTCCTGATAATTTGGACAGCCGTCCCCCTATATGGGTTGGCCGTCCGTAAATGATGAACGGTCGTCCTGCTAATTTGGACGGTCATCTCCCTATATGGACCGGCACGGCCGTCCAAATTAGAAGGACGGCCGTCCAAATTATCAGGACTACCGTCCAAATTTTAGGGACGGCCGTCCCTAAATGATGGACGGTCGTCCCCAGTTTGTAAAATTTTTTTATTATTAATTTTTTTTTTTAATATAATGTAAATATGGACGGCCGTCCCTAGTATATGGACTAGCGTCCATCTACTAGGGACGACCGTCCAAACTACATGGACGCCAGTCCATCTACTAGGACGACCGTCCAAAATACATGGACTGGCGTCCATATTTGTTAAAATTTTTTTTTTTTAATTAATAATAACGAATGGCTTGCCTAATACGCTTCATTTAAGCGCCAAATTTTTTTCTTCTCTTTTCCTTCGTCTCCGTCATTTGTTTTTCTTCTGTTCTTAGCTTCTCCTTCTTGCTTGTTGTGATTCCTTGACGCCGGTTACTTCCTCAACAGCCAAGCACCAGCAGCAATATCTCGTCCAAGCACCAGCAGCAATATCTCGTCCTACAGAGATAACCTTGAAACATATAAATTATGAGATACAATTTAATATTTCTTATTGGTTATTAAAAATAATTACATCTAAGAAATAAAATTTTATTGGATTTTATTAGTCAATAACATTATTTGGGTTCATCGTGGGATCTCTATCAGGACAAATCAATTTTGAAAAGATTAATAGTTATTGTAACAATCTCTCTATTGTCAAAGATATTGTGGTATTGTCCGTTTTGGACACATAATATTTTACGGTTTTTTAAACAGGTTATCTAACTAGTCTTCACATTTTCTTCGGAACAATTAAATAAATAATTGAAATGTAATAATATTTTTTAAATTGAAAATTGGGCGGTAAATATTAATGAATATTGATGATTGTGTTGAGGTGATGTTAACTCATTCTGAGTGGTCAAGTCAACATCCAGTGAGTTCGTTAAAAAAAGAAAAAAATAAAAAGAAAAAAAAGAAGGCATGGTTTATACTTTATATAGAGTGAGAATAACGGTAAAAACAATCTTGTGTATGACCTGTGTACCGAAAGGACATGTGGCAGTTGATACCACGTGGTTGTTGATTACGTGGGGTCGTCAACTGAGGTGGGTCATGGGCATTAGATGCGCAACCTCTGGGTTCCTGACCATGTGACCTTGGGCCCACTAGAATTATTGGCCGCCCTTCTCATTTCCAAATTTTCGCTGCTTCTATTTTACATGCTTTTTTCTTTTGCAATGCATATGTTCACTATTAATAGGTATAAAAAAATATACTTTTTAGTGTTAAATTTTAAATGCTTTAGGTCTTATTCGATATAGAATGTAACTATAGTTTTTTCTTTTGAAAACAAAACATACAAAAAATCTTATGAAAATACGTTTGATAAAAATGAGTTGAAACGTTTTTGAAGTTTCAGGATATAATTCTATGAACCAATGTAAAATAAAATAAAAAATGATTAAAAGTCTTTCTATTATTTTCAATCCGAAGACAATTTTTGAATCAAATATTATAAATCTTTAGATGCAACTCAAAATTTGAATCATACTTTAGTTTTTAAAAATTATTTTCGATTATAAATTAAAAAGACCTTAACAATTTTTTTTCTTGCCCTAAAATTAATCAATATATAAGATATGATATTATGTGTCAAATTTTTTTTTTTTTTGATAACCGGTATGTCTAGATCAACTTGCGTGTATCTCAACTAATCCTTATGTCCTATTGAACACTCTATAAACATAATGTTCCAGGTAAGTCACAAATATAACAGGTGGTTTCAATGTAGTTTGAATCTAGAAAGTTAATAAAGGGAGCAAACCTTCTTGACTATTAGATCAATTTTAGGAAAATTAAAGTTTTTTTTTTTTTTTTTTTTTTAAAGGAAAAAAAAAAAAATTTGTCCACCACAATATGCATTGGTTTGGGAAAATATCATGTTTAAATCTGAACATATACATTCTAATAAGTACCTAATATTAAGACTGAAATTGGTTTAGATTTCTTATCCTCTAGCCCGTAATAAGATTGAAATTCGTAACAATCTTTGTAATCCATAGAAATATCATCTTAATGATAAGAGTAGTACTAATATTATATATTCACAACAAGATAAAAATTTTCATTGTATCATTCTATTTTATTTACATAATGATAAAAAAAAAAAAAATCACATTTAAGAAGAGGATGAATCTTAATTATAATGGACTTCATGGAGTTCGTAATCCAGCTCATAAGATTTTGACACAAGGTTGAGTGAATGGTACATTCGTATCCTAGAATTGATTATGCCAGAAGGAATCATCAAATCAAATTAATATCTCGTTTTCATCTTCTTATATTAATATCATCAAAGTAAATGAGCAGTTTTTTTTCTCACTTTTGTCATTTGATTCAAGCTGAAAAAAGGGTTCTTCCCTTTTTCTCTTTCGAATAAAAATGGTCTAGAAACTAAGGTATGTGATGTAACTCTCAAGACTCGATTGTGCAATGAAAGTTAAAGCTGTAAAAGCTGATGAATCGGCCTTTCTTCTTCAATCAGCAGGCACGCAGAGTGAGCAGGCCAGTTCGTGATCCAAGAAGATTTAATTAGTTAGTACGAACAAGAAGAAAAGAAAAGAAAAAATGAAAATGATCCAATCTTTTTTAACTGCTACAAATTCTTCTTACCCGTACAATTACAGCATTATTTTGAAGAGTATATACACACATACATTCTTTGTAATTTCCAAAAGATAAGACAAATTTTTTTCCGTAGAATGATGATGAGAAATATGAACGTGAAGATGATGAGGTTGACATTTCTTATTTTAAATTTTCATAACCTGAACAAGACAGTAAAATTTCATCAGTTTATTGTTGTTTCAATCTTACCAGAACATCCATAATCTCTTTCGTTTGTCCTGTATGAAAAAAGCTGGAGCTTTGCAACGTTACTACTGTGTAAATTCTGCATGGCTACCATTAATTTTAGGTTTTACATTAAGTTTCTTTTTCGAAGAGAAATAAATAAAACCCTTCTAGACCATATATCACCATTTACACAGTGTCAACGGCGCATTTTGTCTTGTTGTAACAAATACAGAATGCCACAATTTTATGGTGTAACGATGCATTCATAGGGTTTCGGGTTTAGGACGTTGATATAAATTAGTTTTCTAATAATAAAATTAAAGAATGTGACTTTAATGGAAGAAAAAGATGTAGTAGGTAGCATTTAAATTGTGGTTTACAAGGAATTGGAAAAATCTGTGTTTGTTTTTATGCATGCAAAATAAAAAAAACATAAAAAAAACTTGTTCAACTCTTTCTTGATTGGTTGTCACAAATTGATTACGGAAGTCATTGTCTGAGGAGACAAATTGTTGGAGCTATATAGCAAACATTCAAAGCATATCTTTGGGAATGTGTTTTTCTTTTCTTTCTTTTTTTCTCATTGAAATAATTTTCTCGAGAAAGCTAGCTGGTTGGGTTTGGCCACAACTTTGTAATTGAAAATTCACGCGTTTGAATGATTGTGATGGTGCAATGAAAGCAGTCTTTGTCGATAGGAATTGAACAGTTGGCGTAGCGTGCAAATGGAGCATAAACTTTATCTGATTTTTCAACTTGTTTCTATCCATTTATTTGTAACTTTCTGGGTTTACATTTTGCTTTCAAAATCAAAAGTATTTAACAGGTGTCCTGTTGCAATTTTATTAAAGACTACTGTACGTTCCTGTTCATACACACACTCATATTCAAGAATTTGGTATTACTTTTCGAGATTAAAGTTGATTTTTTTTTTGCTGAATATATGGCTATCTTGTGCTAAATCAACATCAAAACCATCATATATATACTTTTTATTAAAGCTTATATATAACGAAGATCCATTGTTCCTTAAAAACAATATTATTCGACTTTAACCATCATCGGATGACCTGATAATAAATAAGTAAAAGATATTCTATCAGTTTTTGAGTTCGAGTCCCCTCACCCACTAATAAAGGTGGTCACTGAGACTCTTACTTAGTCGGTAGTACGTACCGAGACTCCTAGGGATTAGTTGAGGACTTTAGAAAAATAACGTTTTCTTTAATCGAAAAGGGTTTAGGGTTCAGTTTAAACTTGTTTTCAAAAGCAAAAAGACACTTTGAAAAAAAAATTCTGTGAATCATTAGATAAGAAAATAATAGAAAGTGGTTAGGGCCTGTTAAAAAAGAGAATGCCATTGGAATAGTAATACTCAAACCAAAGTGGTTGGTCGATCACCTTGGTGCTATAATATTGAATGTGGGACATGAATTTGAAGGAAAATTTTTCTCAGCTCTTCACGCTCATCAGTTTTAACCTAATAATAATATTTCCTTTACTCTTCTGCCTTTTGACGTTGATATATTATACCCCACTCTCACAACCTGGAATCCACAATCGCCATGGATACATAAATTTCTCTGCTCAGAAATATTTAATATCATTCACATTTTCACAACATAATTGGTTCTTCATATAGTACATGCCCTGAATGCGTA